CTAAGATCTCTCTTGCCTATAATTTGAGATGCGTAAAACTCAATTCCTAATTTCTTCATGTAACATTTTTTTCTTGGTCATCTGAAATATTTATTAAACATGTTATGAAACCGAAAAAATTACAAAGCCGGAACCAGAAGCTAAGCCGGCGGACAAACTTGAATTCCCCAGATACAAAGCCCATACAAGAGACATCAAAGGAACCATGAAATTCAAACCAAACTATCAAAGACTACTAATTTGAGCTGCGTAACATAATTGCCTATAATTTGAGCTGCGTAAAACATAATTGATACATATTTTTGTGTTAAATTTGAACTAGCTCATGTTACCAACGAAAATGAAAACCGCTTTTGCAATCAGGAAAAAAAGTTGGGTGTACAAATTTCCCATGATAATAATAGCTCTTAGAGATGATTTTCCCGCCAAATCAATTGATAGTGGAGTGGACTATTCTCGCGTGTATTATTTTAGGTTAAAGATGTTTTCATATGCTTTTAACTAGTAATCCACTTCTCTATTTATCGCCCGACGTATCGGCTCTCCTTTTCCGCCGCCGACGGTGACTGCCGTTTGCTTTTATTGCAAAGATTGATCGAATCGGTTCGTGCTTGTATCTACAAGCTTTGTTTTTGTTAATTCATGTATCTCTTTTGTTGCATCCCAATGTGGTAGGGTTATTGCTCAACATCTAGGGTTTTAGATGTTCTCTCATTTTCCCCAATTGTGAGATTTGGGTGTATCAAAAAAAAAAAATGGTTTTGATTTAGGGTTCTTATTACTTTCTTCTGGTTTGAGATGCTTCACCAGGTTTACAAAAACGCTTAATTTTGGAATCTCATACATTTATGTCCATGTGTGTGTGTGTGTTATTTTACAGTGTTAAAGTATCTGATGACCATATATAATTGTATCTTCGACAGGAACCCTAGAAGAGAAAGTTGTCTTCTTGAGTGTTAATCGTTTCTTTGTTTGATGATGGATATCAGTTCTTCTAACGGTGCTACAACGTTATCTTCATCTTGTGCTGGAAATATTCACTCCTCTGGTTTGAGTTGTGCTGTGAGTGTTGGCGAGAAGAGAAAGAGGAACGAGTATGGTGAAAGTTGCAATGGTAATGGAGATGCAGAAAGGGGACCAAAGATTTATGAATGTGTTGGTCTAAAGTTTAACGACTTTAATAAGCTGATGAGGGAAGAAGTAAACTTTGAGGTTGGCCAGACATGGGCTCTTTACGATACAGCGGATGGGATGCCTAGATCGTATGCTCATATCAGAAAAGTTTCAGCTCCTTGTTTTGGGCTTAGGATAACATATCTAGAGCCAGATCCAGATGATGAGAAAGAGATCCAATGGTTTGAAGAAGACTTGCCTGTTTCTGCTGGTAAATTCAGGCTTGGAAAAAATCAGAACACGAAAGATCGTACCATATTCTCTCATCTTATCCAATGCGATGAAGGAAGCAACACTGGTCATCTCAGTATAATCCCAAGAAAAGGAGAGACTTGGGCTCTTTTCAAGAACTGGGACATTAAGTGGTCTTCAGAGCCAGATTCTCACCGCAACTATGAGTATGAACTTGTCGAGATATTATCTGATTATGCTGATGAAGCTGATGTATTTGTTGCATACTTGCATAAAGCAAAAGGCTTTGCAAGTGCTTTCTTTCAAATGGGAACTGGATCGGCAGACATATTTCGTATTTCACGTCACAGTTTGTACCGGTTCTCTCACCAAGTTCCCTCCTTCAAACTGACTGGATCTGAAGGAAAAGGTGTGCCAAAAGATGCTTACGAGCTGGACCAAGCTGCACTACCTGAAACAATCGAAGAGAAAGTCATCCCTTCTTATCTACTAGGAGAGCCCACCGCTTCAAACTCTAAGAGTAATAGAAAATCTAAACCTCAAATCATCTTTGCTAGCAAGGGGAAGGTTTTTCAAACTGGCCAGATTTGGTCATTTTCCAGTCTTTATCATGAGTTTCCTCTGTACTATGGTAGGATTCAGAAGATCAGTTTTACTCAGGTACTCAAGCAAGAGCCAGTATATAAACTACACGTAAGCCGGTTAATGGCTACTCGTTTCCCTGAGGATGTGATCCAGTATGAAGACAAGAAAATGCCGGTTGGTTGTGGAACTTTCTACGCGAGAAAAGTTCTTGAAATAATCACTCCAGATGATGTTTCACATCAGATAATGCCTCAAACCTCCATGGATGCAAATGAATATACTATTCTGCCAAAGATTGGAGAGGTTTGGGTTATATACAGATTCTGGAGTGAATACAGGGAATTCGAGAATGTGGGTTTTTGCAGCTATGACATTGTTGAAATTCTTGATGACACATTGGACTATAAGGTCTTGCTGTTGGAGAACGAGCCCGTTTCTGATGAAAATGAAGACGAAAGTAAGCTCTTTCAAGCAGTTAAGAAATATAAGTATAACGAAATTGATGGATCAGAACCAATATTTATGATCCCAAGGTCGGAAAGGCTCAGATTCTCGCATAAGGCTCCTGCTTCGCGTGTAACCAAAGAGAGATACGGAGAGTTAAAAGACCTTATCAAAGTGGAATCAGGAGCATTACCTCATAACCTGACGTATCCAGACCATTGAGCAAAGTAACTGAGGTAGCCAATACATCCTTTTTGTTAGATTGGTGCATATGGTGGTTTGTTTTTTAAGGCTCCGAAATTTGAAGAGTTTTCTCTATGATCTTAAACGACTAGTATTTGCAGGTTGGTCTCAAATTCTCTTACACTAAATTAGTAAATTTGTTTTCTGAGTTCAAAGTAGTTAAACTGTTTCTTGAATTTGTTAGTGTAATGTCATGTAGATTTTGCTGATCTCTGCAGCTCATAGATTCTACTTATAAATTATATTTGTTTCCGGCCAAATATACAATGAACTTTTACCGTGAAAATGGTGAGCGTGAGATGAACTTTTATATTTTGTCAAAGGTTTGTTCTTGGTTTAAGATCTAAGACTCTTAAACTTATTTAGACTTTGTCCATGGTTTCTGTATTTAT